CGTGCCATATTTCCTGGAAAAAAACTGTCAAAGCTGGAGATATAAGCCATAAATGATAGATCTCTACTCTTGGATTTCCACCCTGCAATATTCCAGGAAATGAAAGACAGGGGAGTAATATTGGTGGAATGTCATTCAGTTTGGCCAGACAAAAATATTGCTGTAGACACTTCCTGGGAAGCACTGGGAGGGTTTATATCCTGCAACTGCTGCACTGGAACAGCCTGTATCAAATGTCTGAGTGCCATTTATGAAGCTAAAATAGAGTCCTGTGAGTGCTGATCTGCAATCTCTATTTTGTGGGGCTGAGTTCGCATCTCTCAGTGGTGTGTTTGAATCTTCATGACACAATCTGGTTATCTGTCTGACTGCCTGTCTTCAAGGGGTGTTGGAGTTGAACTCATATTAGTACTGCTTTTGCAGCCTTCTGCATGGGGCACAGAGACCAAATCAATTAGTGGGGCAGCTGTCTTGTGCACTGTGGTTCAAGTTTGCATAAAATCCTTTAACTTCTTCAGTAAATCCTCCTGTTCACAGCCTGGCAGGGGCTCCAAAGGTATCAATTCTGCCTCCAACGGTTCAGCTGTTATCTATCCTCCTCTCTCTGCCTGAAATTGTTTATCTGAATAATCTTCTCCCAAGGACAGGGCTGGTTTATTATCTTTGCAACAGGCAGCAGCAGAAGCTGCATTGATCTTTTTAGATGCAGAGAAGGCTTTTGACAATTTGAACTGGACTTTCTTGTTTAAGGTTTGGAAGATATGAATTTTGGAGAGAACTTTACAAAATGGTGAAATCGACTTATACTTCACAGATAGCATGAATCATTGTTAATGGAGATTTAACTAAACCATGCCAGATACATAAAGAAACAAGACAAAGTTGCCCACTGTCTCCTCTTTTGTTTATTTTAGTTCTTGAAATATTGAATCAAGATATAAGACAAGATGAGAGGATCATGGGCACAAAGATTAAAAAAGAGTCATATAAATTAAGAGCTGTTGCAGATGATTTGGTTTTGGCAGACCCCTTAAAGGGAACTGAATTTTTAACGAGTAATTTAAAAGAATTTGGGGCCATAGCAGGTTTCAGTATTAATAAACAGAAGACAAAGATGTTAATAAAAAACATGAAGATACAAGATCAAAGAGAATTGATGAATAAAATGGGTTTTAAGTTTGAGAAGAAGGTAAAATACTTGGGTATAACTATGACAAATATGAATTGCCATAGTTATTTTAAAATAATTACGTTAAGATATGGAATGGAGTTTAAAAAGATTTGTCAAAATTACAATTGTCACTGTTGGGTAGAATTTCTGTGATTAAGATGAGTCTTTTACCTAGAATGTTTTTTTTCTTCAGACAATACCTGTTTTGACAACTGATGTACCATCTAAACTATGGCAGAAGGATACATCTAAATTTGTATGGCAAGGGGGAAAAACACAGCTTTGTGAAAAGCCGTGGCTTCTCAGGGGCCAATGGAAAAGTTTTAAAAATGAAACCTTTGCTTGAGGATCTCACCAAAGCTGTCCAGAAGCCTAAAGAATTAGCTATTGTCCACTGTTGTGGTCATCAGTCTGACCCAAGTGAAGTCACCCGAGGAAATAAGGCAGCAGATTATTGGGCAAGACAGGCTGCCATTCTGGTCACCAGCCATCATCATATCATCTTCTTCCTCTCCTTCCAGTTGATTTCACTGAAACCATGCCTCCCCTCTATGACCAACGGGATCAGCTAGACCCAGAAGGACATTGGGACAATGGTTGGTGGGTAGTGGGAGGCCGGATTCAACTTCCCCACTAGCTGTTTTGGAAAATTGTCACCTGAGCTCACCAAACTTCTCATATGGGCCCCCGACCCCTTTTCAAGTGGCTAAAAGAACGCTACTACTCCCCTGGTCTCAGGAGTGCTTGCCACTCAATAGTTAATCAGTGTGAGATTTGCCAGCGGAACAATCCCGGTGGGGGGAAAGCAGTTCCTCAAGGACACCTCCGAACAACCCGATACCCGGAGGAAGCCTGGCAAATTGACTTCACAGAAATGCCCAAGTATGGCTCCAAGTCTAACCTCCTTATTTTTGTTGATCTTTTTACCGGTTGGTCAGAGGCCATTCCAACTGCTACACAGAAAGCTAGAGAGGTGGTACAGGCCCTGGTGGAACTCATCATTCCATGGTTTAGTGTTCCCAAAGGCTTGGAATCTGATAATGGCTGACACTTTACCTCTAAAGTTACTCAGGAGGTCAGCAAGTTCCTAGAAATCCCCTGGCACCTTCATTCTAGTTATTGGCCCCAGGCCTCTGCTAAGGTTGAATGTATGAACCGGACCCTCAAAGCACAAGTTGCCAAACTGTGTCAAGAAACAAGTCTGCCATGGCCCAAAATTCTCCCCTTAGCCCTTACTCATATTTGAGCCTTACCTGCAGGAAAGCTTGCCTTGTCCCCATTTGAAATGATATATGGATGCCCCTTTGTGGCTACCAGGTTAAGGAATATTGATGAGGGGGAGAGGAATGTAACTCAGTATTTGCATAATCTAGCGCAGGTTTTGTCATCTATTTCCAAACAGGCTCAGGCCGCTTTACCATCCATCTCAGACACCCCTCTGCTTGCCAATCCAGGAGACTGGGTCTGAGTTAAAGAACTTTCACCTTCCTGTGTTGATCCCAAGTGGTCTGAACCCCAACAAGTTCTGCTCAGCACCCCAACAGCAGTGAAAGCTGAGGGGATCAAGGCGTGGGTCCACGGTTCCGGGATCAAGAAGGTCGACTCTCCTCCTACTCAGTGGCAAGTGCAGCAGCTGAACGGCCTGAAGCTGAAACTCCAGAAAGCTCCCGCCTCGCCAGCTGATCTTTTTGGACTCTTCCCATCTGCCTAAGAAGGATCCTAAATTTTTTTAAATGGACTGGACCCTTCTGGAAGCAGTGGGATTTGGTGTGTTTGTCCTAGTTGGAATTTTCTGGCTGTGTTGTTGTGGGTTCCCAAAGACATTCTTTGGGAAAGGGGAGAATGGGTCTGATTTGTATTTTGGAAAACCCACATGTCTTAATGGTTTTGTATTTTGGAAAAACCGCTTAATGCTTAATGCTCAAGATGGGTCTATCTTTGGGACTGGGGGTTCCTTTCTGTAACAAGAGTTACCAATCCTTATGTTTTTAGGTCAACACATGCTCACTTCTCTAGTTTCCCAAATGACAGTTGTTACTTCCCCCACCACTTCATCTGAAAAACCAGCTAGGATTATGGTTCTCTGAACCATCCCAAAGGAATACAGCCCTCTGGTAACAAGGTAACAGAAAGGATTCTGACCCAAAACTAAAGGGAGGAATGAAGGGGAAAGGGAGGGGGAATTTTCTTAGCCTGGCTCTCGCTATCTTGCTTCTGTATTTTTTTGCTTGCGCTAGGAAAAAACTGCCTGAAGGACATGTACACAGAAGACCTTGGGGGGTGGGGAGAGAGTGCAGGGAAAAGGTCTTGAGGGTAAAGGGGGGACACTGGTTCAAACTGCCTTAAACTGCCTTATTAATTGCAATCTATTGTCCTTGCAATGCTATAAAAACTGGGTTTGAAAACTTGTTGGGGTGTGGAGCTGCCCAGAACTTTCACTGCCTGTGTTTTGGGTTGTTGCCCACCCAGCTGTTCACTTGGCCGATTAAAGAGCTCTTTTCTTTTTAAGACTCTCCGTCTGAATTCTTGGTGTTGAATTCCTTAAGATTCAGGTCTACAAACCTTATAAAGGGTTTAACCTTACTTATCCAGAGAGGGTAAGTAGTTCTACTCCCAAACTGTTTTTTTCTTTCAATCAAAATTTGTCTTTCTATACAGTAACTTAAATTTAGTTAAATTAAATGTTAAATTATTACATGTCCTGCACTCTGGAACAGATCTTAACATCCTTAGGAATTTGAAGGAGGATATATTCCTGCTCTGTTGTTCTGCCTCTACCAATTCTAATAGCCAATGTAACTACAAGTGGAAATGGTATGTGGAGCTGGATAATGCCTATTAACTTTTGCATATCCTTCATCTTTTCTTGATCCTCTCCTTTCTCTGCCTTGTTTTTTTGTCATTTTTATATATACTGTAGCCAAGAGCAAATGTTGTTAACAGCTTCCTATTCTAATTAAACTTTCTCAAAACAGCCAAGCCTGCAAAGCAAGGGTTTAGCTTTTCTGTCAAATTTAATTGTTGCTACTAATTTAATCACACCTTAGCACCAACTTGCTACTTCAAGTTACCCATTTGCTCATCAGCCACCTAAGCCTCTTCTACATCAGTGACAATTCCTACCCATATCTATGCCATTTTACATATTCCTTATCTTGCTAAAGGTCCAGATTAGTAGCAAGCCATGTTAGCATCTCTTTCTTTCACTCTATTTGAAAATGTGATTCCTTTTTCTTTAAAGCTTAACTATGGGCAAAACTTCTGATTTATTAGTCTCATCAAGGCAGATGACAGGCCAAACTGCTCAATAATGGCTGTACTAGGACCTAGGCAAAAATCAATGAGGTGATTGAGAAGTACAGGGCTTAAAAAATGTCTCAGCTCCCTTTCCCTAGCTAGTAGTTTTTGTGTATTTCCATCAAAGTCCTCTTCCTTACTCTCTATACCACCTCCCCTATTAGCAGCTCACATGGACAGGGTTTCCTTGGGAACTGCAGGTAAAATTGGTGTATAAGTTGTGGGGTGTATATATCTGTTGCCTTCTCTCACAATCTCTCTGGCTCTGGATAGTCCTTCCAACGAATCAGGTATTCAAACATTTCCCCTTGCATCTTGAATCCAGAATAGCCTGCACTGCATATGGTATCTTCTTTCCCATCCCACAGTAGGAGGTGGAGCTGTCCTAATCTGTAAAATGTAGGGGAGTGCCTCCTGCACAAGCAATGATCAATGGGAAACAGGATTAATTTTCACTGATGGCAGCAATTACAAACAAAAGGCTGCTGGGTTTATTTGCTGAACTACTGAGAAGGGGCCAATATATTTCAAGTCCAGCTTCCTGGAAGGACAGGTGGAAAGCAAATGCTTTGTAGAAAACCGCGTCAAATCCCCTTCGACAATCTTGTACCCCTCTTGTCTGTATGTGTCTGCAGCTTGCTCTTGTGCTGGCTTTGCCAAATCTAGCTATTCCTTTAGGAAGCACTGAGCAGCTTGTTTCTTCTGCAATAAGTCTGAGGCATGACAAACCACAGATGCAGGAGCTCTGGAGGGCCAGATGCAGGATGGAAGCTGTAAGTCACCTGAAATGGAGACATGCTGATGGAGGAAGGTACTGAGTTGTTGTAGGCAAATTCCACAAGTGGCAACAGCTCAGTCCAATTGTCTTGTTGATAAGAGACATATCACCTTAAATACTGCTGTAAGGGTTTAATTTCTCAGATTCTCCATTTGATTCTGGATGATGAAAAGATGACAAATGAATTTTAATATTTAATAACTGAAATAGGGCCTTCTCAAACTGGAGGTAAATTGTGATCTCCGATCCAAGATAATGTGATTGACTAGCCCTCATTATCTAAAAACATGGTCCAAAAAACTCTGTGCCATTTCCTGAGCTATCAGGAGGTCCTTGCACGGAATGAAATGGGCCAACTTTGTGAACAAATCCACCACTACAAGAATGCTGGTATACCCCTGTATCAGAGGAAGATCAATAATAAAATCCAGTGACACTATCCTAAGGTCACAAAGAAGAGTTTAGAGGCTGCAGCAACCCTACCGGCTTTCCAGGAATGGATTCTGCCCAGTGGCCCACATGACAAGACAAAACTTTTGCCCTCATTTTTGGCCATCAGAATTCTCTAAGGACCCAGTCCAAAGTTTTAAGCACTCCCCCATGTCTAGGCATTCTATTGTCATGTCAGAGTTGTAATACTTCTTCCATTAAAGGAAGAGGAACATATAAATGACCATTGTGAAACAGCTGCCCATCCTCACCCGTGAAAGTCATCTTGTTGGGCTCTTGGAAAGTCATCCATCTGAGCCCTAGCATAAGCATCTTGTTACTGTTAAGCTTTAAATTGATCTAATAGGTCAACAGCCTGCCTCCCCACTCCCAGTCTTTGTGGAGGATCTAACCACTGGTGACACTCAAATTGCTCTGTTACAACATTGAGGCTGGGGGAAATGAATAGAGAAGGTCATATTCAGGCTTATGTGACAGGGCATCTGGAAGTATGGTCTGTGAGCTGCCTGATCTGTTGAGGAGTGAGGGATTGTACCTTCTGCAGAACTTCTGCAGAACTTCTAAATTCTTGTCCATACCTATATTGGGTGGGCAGCACCTTCCAGAAAGTGCCTCCATTGCTGGAATGCTGTTTTTACTGCAAGCAATTCCTTATTGAAGATATCATAGTTCTGTTCTGCTTGGAGCAATCTAGAATAAAATGCTCCATCCCCCCCCCCTTCCCTACCTGGAGGAAAACTGCTCCTGCTACAACATCTGAAGTGGTGCACTACAAATGGGCAGGTGGGTTGCCTGAGCAATGGCTCTCCATTGTGAGGTACCACAGAGCTCAATTATTTAACATCTACATGAAGCCACTGGGGGAGGTTATTCCATCAGCATCGAATCTGATGGGGTATTATCAATATGCTGGCAATATTCACTTGTACATCTCAACAACTGATGGGCCAACCAGGAGATACAATTGAGATACTGCCCCTGTAGCCTATAGAGTCTTACATGGCTTGGGGCTGGTATCTGTTAGACCACTTACTCCAGATAGAATCTGCTGGCCCAGGACTTGCCTACAGAGAATGCCTGCTGAGAGTTCCCAACCTTTGTGAGGTATAGCAGGAGGGGACTCAAAAGCAAGCATTTTTGTAAGAGTTCCCCACTTGTGGAATTCCTTACCATTTGGAAATAAGATCTGCACCCTCAATCCTGAAATTTAGACAGTTGTTCAAAGACTGACTTTTTCAAAGGGCATTTGGGCCCCAATTTTTTTGTCTGTGGCCCTGGATTTACTTCAAAATAATTGTTCCAAAAACTCAACATGCCTTGTCTTTTCTAGTCTCTCTATGCATCAAACTGAGTAATTTAAGACACAGATAGAAAACAGCGATCTCATTACTGGATCTGGATCTGATATTCAAAGAAGGAATGATAAAAGATAATAAAAAAAACTCCATTGAGGATGGAAAGAGTTAAAGGGAGTTGATTATAAAGCTGGTGAGGAAAGGCTTGGTTGGGAAAGTTAGGATTTCTTTAAATTACAGATAGTCCTTGGATTATGACGGCAATTGGGACCAGAATTTCTATCGCTAAGTGATGCGGTCATAAAGCGGAACGTCACGTGACCACATTGCTTAGCAATGGCAATCCCGGCATTCCTGGTTGCTGTCATGACCGCAATGTGGAAAGAGGTGGGAATCCCAGGCAAGTAGGCTGGTGGGCAAGAGCTACAGGCAGGTGGGCCAGTGCTGCGTGCAGATGCTATGGAGTGTGGGTAGGCAGGCAGGGACTGCAGGTGGGTGCCACGGGTACATGGTATGGAGTTAGGGCGGGTGCCGTGTGTGGGTGCTGTGGAGTGTGGGTGCTGCAGATGCTACAGAGTACAGGTGGACGCTACGGAGTATAAGTTCCCCATGCTGCCTGGGGCTCCTCAGGAAAAAAAGTGGCTGGAGCAGGAGCAACTTGTGCAAGTGACTTGCAACCTCCTGCTGGCTTCCCCACTGACTTTGCTTGAGGGAAGCCGGCAGGGAAGGTCACAAATGGCAGTTGCATGAATGTGGGTTGCTGCAACCATTGTAATTGCGAGTCGGTTGCCAAGCACCTGAATCACAATCAGATGACCATGGGGATGCTGCGATGGCCGCAACTTTGAGGACCAGTCATAGTCCCCCTGTCATAACTTTGGTCGCTGAACAAGTGGTCAAGGACTACCTGTATAACTATCCAAAGAAACCTGGTAAAGAAATTGCACTAATGTATGTAATCATTTTTTTTTTTAACCGCACTCAATCGTTACCGATTCTGCGGCGACTTCCCGGGAGAGTCCCTGCAGTTTTCAAGGCAAGGTGTTTTGGAAGTGGTTTGCCATTGCCTCCTTCCTAGAGCAAAGCCCAGCTGGCAAGTGCAGGAGGCGGGGTTTCCATTGCTTCACGCCTTTTTCGGGCATATGTGGCTTCCGCATTACCAGCAACTGCTCCCATCTCCCATGGAAGCGCTGCCACCATTTGTCCTCCCACCAGGGTGAGAGTACCCATTTATCTACTCATGTAAGTTTTCGAGCTGCTGAGTTGGCAGGAGCTGGGGAGGAAGCAGGAGCTCGCTCTGCTGCGCGGAGCTGGGCTCGAACCGCTGAAGCATCGACCATTTCTGGCCAGCAACTTTCAGCATCATTAAGCCACTGCACCACCGCGTCCCCTATGTAATCATTACAAGTAGTTAACAGTTCAAGAACAAGTTCTGTTCCCAAGATCTGTCCTTAAGTCGAATTTGTATATAAGCCGGAACAGTATTATTTTACTGTATACATAATATTGTGTAATCAACTCAAACCACTGTGTATTTAATTCGAATCATTGTGTATTTAACTCAAATTTTGCTACAATAGGCTCCGTTCTTAGCTATGAGTCATCCTTAAACGGGGTGTTCCTAACCTGGGGACTACTTGTAGTGATAGTGCAAAAAATGAGCTGGTTTATCCACAGAGTTAGAAGAAACAGATGACCAAATAAATAAACTGTAAAGTTAAGAGATCACATCAACAGGCCTGGATTGAAATAAAAGAGAATTAAGGTAACTGTTTTATAAATGCAAGCAACAGAGATGCATAGCACATATTACACAACAAACTTCCAAAACTAATTAGCAGACTAGGAACTAGACCCTGGTTGCTAGCATATACTTTGCATTTAACAGTTTAATCCTTAGCTTGCTGCTTGAGATGATCCCCCTACAGTTAAAAATCTGTAATATATCAAATTTACTGAGATATTTTATACACACACACACACACAAACATAAAACACTGTCAAGTGCTAGGAGTCCTATGGGATTCAGCAAGGAAGGAAGGAAGGGCTTACATTATATCTCAAATTTGCACTTCTATTTTCAAAAATAGGAGAGATACCTACACCTCTGCAATTAAACCTCTGTTCTTTGGATTCAGATGCTTTCTGATCAGGTCCAGCCAGTTTCTGTGAAATGATTAATGATTCATTCATTCCTGATGGGGCAGCAAAAAGAAGAAACAGGTAACTACAGGATTTGAACATTATTTTAAGTGGAACATCTAAAACAGTGAAATTATTCAAGTTTGTTAATGTTTTGTGTTAAAGAGTGATTAGAATTAGGAGATGAAACATTCAAAGTAATCAGATTGTTCTCATATAAAAAAAGTAAACTATCCTTCAGCTTAGATCCTGATGACTTCATATTGTTATAGCCAAAACCTGGTTCACCTAAAGCAACCAAATCACTTTGAAGATGCATAATAAATGTATTAAGCATTTATTATGACAACTACCGTGTACGGTGGGCTCCCAGCAAGGTATTGGCAGCTTGCTTAGCAGCCCTGAGCAAAAGCAAAAGCACAGGTTATATACCTTTGGCCTACTACGTTACAAAGACAAGACAAAGGAAAAGACACAGTGTAAATTACAGCATGATGTTGGAAAGTTTTTGATAAACCCATCCGGATGCCCTTCTTATTAGTTATCCCCTCCTACCAGGTCAACATGTCAGCTATACTATCTTTGAGATACGGTCAGTGAATATAAACAATTTGGTTTACTAGGCCACTGGTTCCTGACTGATTCCTCCCACTGTTGTCTAGCTCAGGGTTAATTCAGCTTGCTGGGAATGTTTTCTTACAAGGGCACTCTAAGCAATTCACATGTATTGGGAGGCATCCAATAGGGTTGGTAGTGAATGCAGCTCACATACGTATGGAGGGTACCTTTTACATATCCATATAGTTTTCTTGGCAGCAATATGGAAGTAGTTTGCCATTGCTGGTGTGTGTGTATCTTGTATTGATATCCCTGTCTAGTCTACAACCCTGAAGATCCCTCCTCTAAACCAGACCTTACTCTGCTTAGCTTTGGAGATACACATTTGTTGGGTGTCCATTAATTATTCCATTTCTTTCCATTAATTCGATTTTCAGACAAGATTTAATATTCTACGATGTTCATATTCCTTTGAATTATATTCCAACTGCACGGAAACTGACACCTGGGAAAAAAAAGTAGATTCTCTATGCTCTACTTATAGCCAGAAGACTTAATCTTCTGCATTGGAAAGATAACTATATGACCCCAACTACTTAATGATCTGCAGAATTGATGTTATTATCAACTCATGAGCAAATCACTTATTGATAATGGATTAGCTACAGATGATATGGCTACCATTCATTGAAAAGCTTATGTAGAAATTTTACATATGTATATACCCTGTATGCTTTTTCAGTTTTGTTTTATTATTTTTATAAATTTCTGGATTTTTTTCTTTCTCTTTTTAGTCAATTTATAAAAGCAACGTAGCCAAATGCTGCCAGTTGTCGAGATGCCTCATCTTAAAATAACCACATCTATTTTTTCTTCATCAGCCTAAAACTGTATAAAAATATTTGGTTGTGTATGAAAACACAAATGTCTAAGCCTATCTTGTCTAGACTCAGAAGCTTTCTGACATTGCAGCCTGTTATGGTCTGTCTCATCCCAGCATGTATGTAGGAAACATACTTCTACTCTATTGTTGTTGCTCATTCCAACTGCATATCTCAGCCAGTGCTTAGTTTAGGTGAGCTACTCTACTGGCCCCTAATAGTTTTGAAACAACTATGTTTATAAAACAATTGAAAGCAGAAAAAAATCTAAACATACGATCATTCCTGAACTGCTAATCTAGTATCATGTGTTGAACACTCACTCCAGTGGCATTTTATTCACACAGGCCACCCAGCAAATATTCCTAAAGACTGGAGCTATGCAATAATTATTTCAATTTATAAAAAGAGTAGAGAAACTGATCCTCAATTTCAGACCAATCAAGCTTCGAAGTATAATTAATAAACTTTATTCCCAATATCTCAATTGGAAGTTACTCAGCTAGCTAGATGGTAAACCCATTTTAGTAGAGGAGTAAGCAGGTTTTGAGGCAGATCAAGCAATCCTACATCAAAGACTAATTTTGCACCATCTTGCTGAAAAGTATTTTTCTCTTCCAAAGCGGGATCCTTTTTGCAGCATTTATACATTTTAAAACATCCTTTGAAATGAACTCCAGAAATACTACCTGGAAGAAATCCGAATAATTTATTAATAGACACTTACTGTTGCCAGTGGATAACACTGGCTCTAAAAAAATATGAGGGGGGTGAAGCAAGATGCCAATTATATCTGCTCCCTGTTTCTGGCCATTAATTGCTGTTTGTAAGATAGCACAGAAGGTTACAGTAGTCCTAGCTTAATGACAGTAATTGGGACTGGAATTTCTGTCACTAAGTAATATGGTCATAAAGCACAATATCACTTGACCGCAACACTTAGAGACAACAATCCCGGCAATCCCCGTTGCCATTGTTAAGTAAGGATCATAAGTTGTTAAGCGAGTCCCAGGTGGCTTGCAAGCAGGCTGGCAGGCAGGTGGCTCCTGCCAGGGGGGAGGAGGGTGTGCGGGTGGCTGGCGCAGTACAAGTGTGGCAGGCCAGGATTGGCTGTTGTTGGGCAGAGGATGGTGGGCTCCTTCCCAGCCTGTCCATCTGGCCCTCTTTCTAACTCATCTTGCGTATCCATACAGGACCAGGCAACTTGGAGGTAGGACTAGGAGATGTTTTCAAAGATGGCTCAACTAAATTTATGGCTAAGCAGTGCCTTCTCACAGCCCAAACAGTTATTTGTTTTTGAGCAGTTAGCCTCAATCAGTAAAAATCTAGACTCACTGAAGAGTGATTTTGAAGCTTCTGCTCACAAGCATACTGAAAGACTCATGCTTTTATTGAAGCTCATGAGTTACATTTGGATAGACACTCTCTGGAAAACAGACCTAAATGACCTCACACTAATAAAACTGTTAATGTTAATAACACTGCCCAAGCTAACTGAAATAAATGCTCCCATCTCTGTCTGCCATAAAACCTAAAACATATTCACTTCCTGCAACCAAATCAGTTTGTGTTATACAGTGGTACCTCGGGTTACGAACACTTCTGTTAATGAACTTTTTGGGTTACGACCAGCTCCAGCCGCAAAATTTTGTTTCAGTTTGCCAACTCTGCCTCGGGGTACGAACAGGATACACGGGCATTTTCCCTCCCGTGACATGGTCCGTGGCCATTTTCCGCCCCTGACACATGGTCCGCGGCCATTTTTCCGCCCCTGACACGTGGTCCGCGGCCATTTTTCCGCCCCTGACA